CTCACCAATGTCGAATAAAGGGGAACGATCACGTTCCTCGATCTGCTGGCAGATCTCTCCCCAGCTCTGGGAGGGGAGTGGGAGCTAGTGGGTTAAAGCGGGGGGGCGGGGCTGGGAGCCAGGACTCCTGGGTTCTTTTCCTGGTTCTGGAGGAGAGTGGGGTCTAGTGGTTGCGGCTCTGCTCCTGGCCTACTGGGTGCCCTTCTGCAAGTCACTTCCTCTCTCTATTGCCTCAGTTTCCCAATCAGCAGGGGGCACTCTTCCCTGGCAGGCAGAGCTGGCCCCAGGGGGGTGCTGTGGGGCAGGGGCAGCAGGGGTGCTCTGCCCTGGCAGGTAGGGCTGGCCCTAGGGCGGTGCTAGGGGGCGCTATGGGGTAGGGAGCAGGGCGGGGGGTTCAGCAGGAGGCGCTCTCCCCTGGCAGGCAGGGTGGCGCTAGGGGGCGCTGTGGGGCAGGGGCAGCAGGGGGCGCTCTCCCCTGGCAGATGGGGCTGGCCCCAGGGTGGCGCTAGGGGGCACTATGGAGCAGGGGGCGGTCTCCCCTGGCAGGCAGGGCTGGCACTGGGGGGGTGCTGTGAGGCGGGAGGCTCAGCGGGAGGCACTCTCCCCTGGCAGGCAGGGCGGCGCTAGGGGGCGCTGTGCTGTGGGGAGTAGAATATAATTTAACATTTTCCACTGCAGGTGGAGGAATTTATTGATTTTTTTTTCCCCCCCAAACATTTATTTTTAACCTGTGCGCCCCTGTTTTTCAGGGACAGTAAGAAGGGGGCGCAGGGGGCGGGTGGAAACAAGTGGGGATTTTCCTTGTTTCAAAGGCCTCTTTCCGCCTCCAAAGTGTTTTTGAAAATCTTGGATTTTAGGGGGGAAATGGGGGGTTCGTGCCAACCCAGCCCCCTGACCGCCCCGCGCTCTGCCCCACAGTTCATGGAGGAGCTCGCTGACGCACTCATCTACTGCCATGCCAAGAAGGTGATTCACCGCGACATCAAGCCGGAAAACCTCCTCATGGGCCTCAAGGGCGAGCTCAAGATCGCCGACTTCGGCTGGTCCGTGCACGCGCCCTCCCTCAGGTGAGAGCCGGCCGGGGGCGCGGCGGGGAGGGGAGGTGTCCCTGCCCCATCCTCAGCTTGGCACTCACCCTGCACCGCTCCCCCCGCACCACTCCCCCACAGGCGGAGGACCATGTGTGGCACACTTGACTACCTGCCTCCCGAGATGATCGAGGGCAAGACGCACGACGAGAAGGTGGATCTATGGTGCATCGGGGTCTTGTGCTATGAGCTCCTGGTGGGGCACCCGCCCTTTGAGAGCTCCACCCACACGGAGACATATCGCCGCATCACCAAGGTGAGGCGCCCCGCCCCTGAGGTGGCTGCATCTCAGTGCTGGACGAGGGGTCCCTGGATAACCAGCCGCCCCACTCCAGAGGTGGCTGCATCTCAGTGCTGGATGAGGAGTCCCCGAGTAACCGGCTGCCCCGCCCCAGAGATGTGGCAGAATAACTCACGGCACATTGTGGGAGGCCGCACAGGCAATCCCCTGTCAGCCTAGGGCTGCTGCTGTGGGTTTCGGCCAAGGGGGCCACTAGTCCTTTGGCATCCCTAGGAGGGGTCCCCCAAGTCTGGGATGATCTGTGCTCCTGCCCCTCACAACTGGACACCTCAGTCATGAGCTCCAGGCTGAGGGCGTTACCACAGCTGCAAGGGGGAAGGCGGGCGCAAAGGGGCCACAGCAGAGAAGAGAACCCAGGAGTCCTGGCTTCCAGCCCCTCCTGCTCTAACCCCAAGCCAGGGATAGAACCCAGGCGTCCGCCTCCCTCTGACTCTGCGTGCCCCCGGCAGGTGGATCTGCAGTTCCCGCCATTCATGTCAGAAGGTTCCCGGGACCTGATCACCAAGCTGCTGTGCCACAACCCCGCGGAGCGGCTGCCGCTGCGGGCCGTGCTGGAGCACCCCTGGGTGAAGGCCAATTCCCGGCGGGTGCTGCCGCCTGTCTTCAACCCCGCCCCTGCCAACTAGCCCTGCCCCGCGGCCTCTTTCATCCCTCACGGGAGGGGCGGGAGGGTGGGAGTCCCCGCCCCGCCCCCCCCCCCGCCCAGCCTCCCTTGGCGATGTCCCCCCCTCGGGCGGTCCCAGGAAGGGGGCACGGGGCCGACACACCCACTCGGGCCTGTAAATAAAGGTGCGGCTGCCAGTCCCTGACCCCGGAGGGTTTTGTGGCCACCTTCCCAGCTGTTGGGCTAGCCCCCACCTACACCCAGAGGGGCAGCGGGTCCCTGCCCCTCCTCTCCTTTCCTGCCCATGTGCCATGGGGCGGCGGCATGCCCCGGCCTGGCCTGTTTTAAATGTCCCTGCAGGAGGCTGTATGCCCCCTGCCCTCCTTTTAATAAAATTTGGAGTTACTTTGCCATGGGGTCCTCTTGCGTCTGTCTGTGTTGGGGGAGGGCAGAAAAAAAGGGTGGGGGGGCAGCGGGGGGCAGCTTCGGGCCTGCAGAGCCAGGATCCCCTGGGGGGCTCAGCAGCCTTCGTCTCCAGCCTTTAACCCGCCCCCCCCCCTTCTACTTCCCCACACCCCAGTTGCCGTCCACGGGCCCTGGATTTCCCAATATGACCTGTCCCAATGTCCTCCCAACCCAGCTCCTGCTGCTTGCACCCCCCCCCCCCATGGTTCATAGGGGGTGCTGTGCTCCTGGGA